TTGTCCAACCGATATTTTGTGGATGTGATCAATGCCTCAATTGCATTTAAATATGACTGGATCATTCAATGTGAGTAAAGTGGAATAATTAAATTCAAATTCAAAAGTAAGAAAAATATTTAATTGCTATATGATGCCAAAACATTATAATACTTTAAGAAGTTATACTTCCTTTAGACTATCTAATCATGAAGTTATATTTAAGGTATCAGAAGTTTAAGTTTAAATTTTATTATTAATATTTAAATTGATATATTTATATAATATAGAACCTCTTTCTTACCAACCTGGATACACATGTCAGTGGCATCGATCGTTTCTATTCGCGAGAGTTTACTGTGTCCGTGGCAGCTATTAGGATACGAGCCTATATTCCGCCACCAATTCACGATGAGATTGATGTTTTTGACAACGAAGTGGATACTAGGGTAGGACATCTACTTTTATCTAAATTTTAAAATCTAAAATCTTAATTATCATTAATATTTCTCAAAAAGTTTGACTCCCTGGCAACTCAGCTTGTTTACGACTCGGTTGTCCTGTTTTACAATGCCCTGCTTGAGATAAGTCAGCGTCCAGGATTCTATACTCCTCAATTCAGCTGCGGTCGAGGCTTTTGGCAGCCAGGACCTCGTCTGATAGAACAGATGAAAATGGCAAGTTGAGTGCATTATTATAACAAAAGGATACTTATTACGTATATAATTTTAATTGAATTTTCAGGTGTCTCCCAAATGTGAAACCCCCCTTTAAGACCCAGAGACTTCAGATAAATGCTGAGGGACAGCGTGATGACTTCAACCTGGAGGTTTATAATCCTCTTATTGATCGTGTGACCCATATTTGGAACAAGGAATTTCAACTTGTGGACTTTGAAAAAATAAGGAGAATTCAACTCAGGCGGTGAAACAAAGGCGTCTCGAGAACAAAGAGGATTTCTCCCAAAAACCCGTACGCTATACAGTGGCCACTCGTGTGGGTAAACCCTACTTTAGTTGGCGGTTAGTTTTATATGGTATTTCTATGGTAAACTAGAATTATAACTATGTTTATATTTGCAGAGAGGAACCGGAAGGAGTTCACTTCGAGGGCAATGAGCGTTTCGAGGGCTATGCCGTTGATTTAATTTACAAATTAGCCGAGATATGTAAATTTGATTTTAACTTTGAACCAGTTAGGGATAACAATATGGAAGTTACGATGCGGCCACTGATGAATGGGATGGCATTATTCGTCAGTTGATAGATAATGTGAGTATTAAGGTCCATGATAACCTAACAGTTAAATATAAAAGTAATATCAATTATGTCTTTCTCATGACTAAAACATTTACAACTTTATTAATATCATTTGTTCTTATCATTTAAATATATATTATTACAGGTTGCAGTAAATTCTCAGGAATCTATCACAATTAACATTTATTATTAAAATTTATTTGTAGAATGCACAAATTGGCATCTGTGACTTGACCATAACCCAGGCACGTCGATCTGTGGTGGACTTTACTGTTCCATTTATGCAACTTGGTATAAGTATTCTGTCTTATAAGGAGCCACCGCCAAAGGCAGATATCTATGCTTTCCTGAATCCATATGGTGTTGAAGTCTGGCTGTATGTAATGATTGCCATGATGATAACAGCGTGGGCATTGATTCTCGCCGGTCGCATGGATCAATATGAATGGGAGCATCCGGTGGTGAATGAAAATCACGAAATGGTTCGGGAAAATACCTGGCATCTGCATAACACTATGTGGTTGGTGTTGGGATCGATTCTTAATCAGGGATGCGATCTTTTGCCAAGGTAAGTGGAAATTATTATGACTATTACTTATATTAATTGTTTTATATATGTTAAAAATTCTTTTATTTATTCAGGGGTCTTCCCATGCGTTTACTGACTGCCTTTTGGTGGATCTTTGCCCTGCTTATCTCTCAACTTACATAGCCAAATTGGCGGCTTTTATTACCTCTTCGAAAATAGCTGGAGATATAGGCTCTCTTCATGATCTCGTCGACCAGAACAAGGTGCAGTTTGGCACAATCCGCGGAGGAGCCACCTCAGTGTACTTCTCGGAGTCCAATGATACGGAGAACAGGATGGCCTGGAACAAAATGTTATCCTTTAAGCCGGATGCATTTACCAAGAACAATGAGGAGGGTGTGGATCGGGTGAAGTTAAGCAGAGGCACATATGCCTCCTAATGGAAACCACTAATCTGCAGTACTATGTGCAACGCAATTGTGAGCTCACCCAAATTGGAGAAAGCTTTGGAGAGAAGCATTATGGAATAGCTGTGCCGCTGAGTAAGAAAATTAATAAGTTTTATCGTGAACTTCAAGTTGTTAATTTTTAGATTAATATTTATCCTCTTATCTTCCTCTCAGATGCCAACTTTCGTTCCAATCTCAGTGTGGGCATCCTGAAGTTGAGTGAAACTGGAGTTCTGTACAATTTGCGCAACAAATGGTTTAATAGCAATGAGAGCACCTGTGACTCGGATGCCTCCGTCGTCGATGATGGCCAGTTCGATATGGATTCGGTGGGCGGACTGTTCGTGGTACTCATTGTGGGCGTGATTATTGCATTTGTGATTGGCGTGGCCGAGTTCCTCTGGCATGTCCATCGCATAGCAGTTAAGGAGAAGGTTGCTCAGAGGCCACCATCAACAGTCATGCCATTTAGTAATCGACAAAATTGATTTCAGATACCATCCTTGTTGGCCCTGAAGGCAGAGTTTCACTTTCTCATCCGCTTTTGGCTGACCAGGAAGCCCCTGCATACCTATCGCCAGAGCAGGGACTCGACCTCGACGGGCTACTCTTCCCTGGAGCAGATATCGAGTGCATCCAGTGCCAAGAAGAGGAAAAAGACACATAGGAGAAAGGACTAGGGGAGCAGAAACAGGCTTGCAAACATTCAATAATTTATGTTTAGTGTAGAATAAGGATATATGTATAACAATGGTTAAAAAGAGACAATTACGAAATAAATTTAAAGAGTTTTGTATATTTTTTAAGTACTACTTTAGTGGATTTTTAAATTAAGAAAATTTATCTTTTATCCTTATCCCTTGCAGGGTATTATAATTTTAGTCAAAAGTTTGCAATTATTAATATTCTTGATCAGCATCAACAGCTTCCTCCCTCTCTCGCCGCCTCGCTCTCTCTTACTCTCCCTGCCTCTTGTTATCCGGTAGGTTTAACTCCCACTATGCATCTCCAGAGCTTACTCTTTCTCTGCATGTTTCTCTGCATGTTTCTCTGCCTCTCTCGCTCTCACTTTCTCTGTTCTCTTGGCTCGGGAACTATAAATAGAGGCACCTATGGCGCCGCGACCTCAGTATGTGCGTGGCCTTCCCAGTGTTTACATCGATAGTGATTGTGGCAGTGATATGATGACTCGAGAAATATCTCTGGCCAATGGAATATAACTGGATAAACATGATGAGATATTCGATACCCTGCTTAAAGTCACCAAGATTATAAGTCTACACCGGAAGAATGTAAGCAATGACGTGTCCTCCACTGGGGTAAGTCTTAATCATGACAATTATATCTTACACATATTATTATTATTATATCATATATGTACATATATAGATGATATAGGAGGGATCAGACCTTGGTCTAGATTCAGCTCTGCTAGCTAAGCATTTATTATTCAATTAAAAACATAAAACTGTGAATGTAAAACTGTAACTGTAAAATTGTAAATTTTGACATAAATAAATATAATTTATATTATATTAATTCCTGGTGATTGAATTTCAATCTGCATATCTTGTTTTAAATTGAAGCGTAATTTATTATTAAGGCAGTCCTTTCGGACTTTGGAAAAATTGCCTCAGCAGTTAAGATCAAAGATCCTCACGCTGGGCGAGCTATTGGCTAAAGTTTTCAACTAGCAATAATCGCAGCTCAGTTAGTACTTCATGGCTTGCGATATTGCCACTGCACAAGGTTGTTGGTGAGGATCTGTGAAAACTTCAAGACTCTAAGACTGAATAGAGCTAGAAATACATGAGAATTATAGGTAACCAAGTAGCACTAAAGCTTAGGGGTAGTTTGTGGAAGATTAAGAAATCTAGCAAAACCAGTTGCCAAGCTTACACCCCTTTAATTAAAAAAAAAACCAGCTTGAATCACCACGAGACTCCATCATCTGGCTATCGAATTTTACGACCTAACAGCAAACTCCTTGACTGCTCACAGTTTTGAGACCAACATAAAATCGGAGAGAATTGAATTGGGGATTCGGTGAAGGCAGTGAAAGGGTCAAGTATCTGAGGGTTTTGCGTTCTGGCCAGATACTTGGATTATGCGAGCTAAACCGCTTGCCCGCAGTGCGGCCAAATTGTAAGCGGCTTTAATTCGACCATCGACCGAGTTGGCCTTAAAGTTAAGAGCCACTCCACACATCAACATTCCACCTCAGACAGTCTCTCTACGCATTCCCTTTTGGTATATCCAGGAGCCAGGAGCCAGGATTCAGGCAGGCACTGGAAAACAGCCGATTAACAAAGGACTCCTCCGTTGACCTGCCAAATGGCCATGGCTTGTATGGCGCTTTGTAATTTAAATGGCTCTTTTATGGTGGCCTCCATAAAATGTACAAATAAGGGTTAATTATGTCTCGGCAGTTGACGCCAAGCAGGCCGACATAAGATGCCAAAATTTGTGGGCGGTAATTGGCTAGCGGAATGTTAATGAGTGTGAATAAAAGGGTTTTTCTTTTGCTTAAAATTTAAGATTATGCAAATTAGGGAAATCTGTAATTGTAAATGGAATGGGGATTGTATTTCCTATTTTATTTATTTTTTTTCCATTGCCAGTCCTTATATAGGGTGTACAAATGGTTTTAAATGGTATAATTAAAGTTTTTAAACATATATGTTTATGAATATATTTATTATAATGGATATTACTAGGTCTAAGTCGGTATAAAGTAGTTTAAAAAGATAATCGTGTTCTAAAATCACTTCAAAATATTCTTTGAGACGCCTTTTAAAGGAATTTTAAATGCCTATGTATGATTGAATTCAATTCAAATTTGTTTACTTTTCTAGCACAGTTTTACTACCTTTTTGGTGTATTTGCAAATCCTAAAGTATTCTGTAGCATTGCTTTACGGTTTTTAAATTGCTTTACAAATTAAATTAAATATAATATCATAAAGCATATTACAAAAATATTCCTACAACATTTTGTTACTAAACACGAATTTTTTTTATAAAAAAGTTTGACGAATCGGTTACTTAATTTGTATTTGCTTCTATTCAAATTCAAATTCAATCTGCGTCATAATATCAAATAATTGTATTAAAAATGATTATTACATATGTACTTATATTTTCCCCCCCTTAGCATAAAGTCCCCAATTAATAAGCCTCATTTTATTGGGCTTAACGCAGGAATGGCTAACAAATCATTTAAAATCACACAACTTACTTATCCCTGCGTAGGAGTGACAGGCCTATGGGCCTATTAACCCTTGTCAGCAACGCCCCTTCTGGGCAAAAATATCCTAAACGGATGTTGGCCATATCAACACCAAAAAACACAAACTTTGACACGGAAAACAAAGCTCCCTTTTAACAACAAGAGAAAAAAGAGGGAAAACAAAAACCCAAAGCACAAAAAAAACCCATAAAGAACAGACTCACTCGATTGCCTCATCGACGAACCGGAAACAATTGACTCGATTACACGGCAAACAAAAACAACTTGCCAACATAAACATGACAGACCAATAAAGGCAAGGAAAAAAGGGCAACAGGACAGACAAAAACAAAAAAATAAAAACCATTGCCACATAACAACATTGTGGCAAGTGCAAAGAGTGCGTGTGAATATAAACATATATACATATATTCAGGATGGGTTTGGGTTTGAATCTGGGTCGAGTTCAGTTTAGTTTCCGGAATCTTTCCCTGCTAGTTTCACCCCCCAATTGCTAGTGGGTCCTTTTTTGACAGGTTTTTCTGCTTGTTTTGATTTAAATAAATGCGTTTGACTCCTATTTGATTTCATTGGTCGAGTTGTTCCAGCTACTGTGAACGCTTTAACCGCATTGTTTCAGACTCTGTTATTGTTATTTATGCCACAATTCTCACTTTTTTTTATTTTGCTTGGTAAAGCGATTCTAAAAAAACCACAAATTGTTTTATTGTCTGTAGGTTTTTATATATTCTTTTTTTTTTCAATGAGAATAAAATTTTAATTGGTATTTATTGGGGGCAGCATGCATATTGCATCTGTCGATAACTCTACTTCGTGTTGTGTTTGTGATTGGTGGCTCTGGCTCAGGCTGAAGTTTGTTAGATTAAGTTGGATTTTCAAGCTTAGAATGGAAGTTAAACCATTCAAAAGCAATAATTTAAGTGGTATTGTTTAATTATTGCACTATAAACAAATAATTGGTAATCTAAATTAACATCAAGGCATTTGAAAGTATTAATGAGCCTAACAAAAGGTTAGCACACACATTTCTTAATATGATTTTAATTAATTGAATTGTTTATAATAACTTTGGTATTTTGGAAGATTTATTTATCCTCCGAAATCAATATAACTGAGCTGTGAAAATGTCCTAGAGGAGCAACCTTTCAACTTACACAAAATTGTTTTATTTTCCTTTATTGAATTAAATTTAAAGTTCAATGCTTTTTTTGTTGGAAGACTTGGGAGTATTTATTTATTAATTATTGAAATTGCTTCGATGTTTTATCATTGCAATATTTGTAGGATTAATCAATATTCTGTTTGATATAATCGGTAAAACAAACAATTAAGTGAAATAACATCTTTTTTATATTATTAAGACGAATGGATAATATAGTTTTTTTCCATACTAGTTGGTCGATATTTTCATTGTTCTTTTGCTTCTTTACTTTTCTATTTTTCCTTTTTATAATTTAAAAACTACATATGTCCCGCCTAAGCGTATTTAGTAAATTATTTCCTTACGAGTTGAAGAAAACAAATAAATAATAATCACAAACACTTGAATAATCATATACATATTTAATGTCATAAGTTAACTATTAAAGTCGCTCCTCATTAAATAAATATTTAAAGGCGTGTCATATATGCAGCATATCAATTTAATATGAACAGCCTTCAGACTGGCATTTGTGCAATTTTTGTTGAGATTTCATAACCAGCAATTTGCAAATGCAGTGCCGCAGAGTCGAGATCAATCCATACAGAATGCATTTTAAACAACAAGTTGCCGGACCGGAGCCACAACGCTCACGATAATTATTGCCAGGGGAATGGTGGGAGATGTGCAGCCAGGAGCAGCCAGGATGTGGATGTGGATGTGGAGGCCGGGCAAAAGGGAGCCAATATGTTTGCTTGTATTTTCGATGGCAACACGCGCGACGATGATGTCCAGGCCGGGAGACTGCCTGCATGGCCTGCGAGTTGAAAATTTTTGGGAAATTCAACCGGCTAACCAGCAGAAAGCAAGCTGGCAAATAAAAGCAGCACCAAAACATGAAGTTGGAACAGCAGGAGGGACAGCCCGGAGCGGGTTTTTCCGCAAAAGCTAGGGCAAGAGGCATGGCATCCATGCACCTAGAGGAATGAGCCTTAATGAGCTGAAATCTTTAGGGGTAAAGAATAATTTATTATAACGTTTATTCAAAAGAAAGTAGAAATATGTTGAAAATTAAACAAGTTTTAATAACTGTTCTACAAATTTTTCTATCCTTTTATGACAGCTATAAGATAAAGTTATCCAATTCGGACCGTTCCGACTTATATATAAGTGAGAGTATATAGAAGACGAACTGAAAAGCTTCATTCAGATAGCTTCAATACTGAGAAACTAGTTTTCACATAATCGGACAGACGGACATTTAATATTGCAGAATTTATTTTATAAATT